TCCTTGGACAAAAGTGGATGGACTTTTCAGAAGAACCACCATCCCACAGCCCAAACGTTGCAAAGCTCTCAGCCCTCTGAAGGCCAGATATATTTCCCAAGGTGTACCCACCCATATCCTTGAATATCTTCCCTCCCCACGGCCCCAGGCCTACGGGCAAAAGCACCGCCAGGATGCTTGGACCACAGTTAGCGTATGAGGACCGGCCTCACTGCAATCTGGAGTCATAACTCATTGACATCTTTCAATTATAGAGCGGTACTCAATTGCTTGTTGAAGAAATCACACTTCAACGTCAAGGATTTAAGACAGACGTGAGAAAGCTCCTTCCACCAACAAATGCTTTCGAGACCCAAAGGGGTATGTAAGAAGCCACCTGCATTTGTCTCTGCAAAGAGCAGGACACAGTGGAGTCCCTTCCTAGAATGGCATTGGGGCTGCGTTCCCAGCCACAGTCTTCTCAAATACACAGACCAGCTAAGTCCTTTAAATAAAGCATTTGGGGTCTAAGCATTCACATTCCTCAAGCAGCTTGAAGCAAACTTCAACGGTAAAAATTTGGAACTTTTTTTAAAAAAGCAAAAACATAGATTCCTTATTCTATGCTGAATAAACTGAACATTATTCCTCCAACCCCAGCAGCAGAGGTAACACTTGTTGACAGAAAAACGTTTTGTGCGTGACATGCACCAACAGAGCCCTAGATTTGCTGCTCAGCATTTCTATCCCTGGGCCTCAGACACACCTGGACAGCAGGGAAGGAGGTTCACAGCAGGAAGGGAGGGGTCTGGTTTTATAGCCCCACATCACCCATGTCACCTACAGAGACCAGGGTAGTGATTTCTACAGAAGCCACTAAAGTAAACCTTGTAGCTTTAGAGCAAACAACAAATCTATGGCTAAATTCAATGACCTGGAGACAGAGAGATACTGACTTTAAGACAACTCCTCCAGTCTAATCCTGAGATACTTCTAGCAACATCAGTAATGCTGGGAAAAGGCTCCCCGGGAATTAGCAAGGATGGATCTTCTAAGAGACATGTGTATCCACATCCCATCAGCTGTGAGGCTTTTGCAATTCTGCTCAATAATCCCTGTAACCCCAGACACCTGTCTGTCTCCCTCCTTTCTCCTCCAGGACTCATGTAAGGTGGCTCCATGAGAGGCATGCAGGGCAAGTGACTCTGCCCCCTCCCTGCAGCAGGTCCCAAGCCACCAGGGCACAGAGGCCAGGGGGACCTTTCTGTTAAACCTGGAAATCTAGACATTGAGTTTAAACACTCCGCATACCCTACAGACAGACTTCCCCACTTAATTCACTCTATTTCCCCTACTCTACAGAGATGCGGCTTGGAGCAACAGGAACTGATCACGTGCCCAAAGGAAGAGGACAGAGAGGACAAGGCTGTCAAAGTCCTGGCTCATTCATCAGCAGCTGCAGGTACAGGCCCACAATCCCTCACCCAGAACCTCTGGGGCCAGATGAGTTTCAGAGTTCACATTTTTAAAAAAATTTTATAAAGCTAATATATTAACACCTCCAGCAGAATCAAAGGAAGTATCGTATATACTCAATTATTATTTTTTTGCACCAAAACATGAATATTCATATGAATCCTTTACCAAGCTTATCAAATTAGTCATGAGATGAAATCCAGAGTCCTCAAGGATGGGAGATGTGGCACCATCTGGTTTGCTTTCCTCCAAGAGATGTCTCAACCACGTGACTCGGAGACAAGGACTCACAGCAGAGAGCAGACAAATGGGCACCTGCCAACCCCCAGCAGACATTCCCCGACTCAGGAGGCCCATGGGACAGGCCAGTGGAGATCCAAACACATTCATCTCGAGAAGCCTTGATAAAAGATGCCTTCTAAGCTGTGCTTTCTTGGCCTCAGAAAACCCAGAGGAGAAAGGATTCCGAAGAGCCCTGTGTGTGTGGAGGATCGAGTCCCCGGGACTGTGGCACCTGAGTCCATGCAGGACACAGACAGTGTCTCCAAGCAGAAACACAGTGGGAGCCACACACAGCAGACCAGATTTGTTGCTGTTGTTGTTGATTTCAGCATATCATAGGATGGGAGGGGGAGACCAGATCTCCCAGAGTCCTGATCCCACATGACTGACGTCAACTCTACGGGATGCTGGGCAAGTCCCGCTTTGATCTTTCTGCCTCTGAGAAGCAAAGAGAACATCTTACGTTAATAGCTACTCTAGGCCGGGCGTGGTGGCTCACGCCTGTAATCCTAGTACTCTGGGAGGCCGAGGCGGGAGGATTGCTCGAGGTCAGGAGTTCGAAACCAGCCTGAGCAAGAGCGAGACCCTATCTCTAATATAAATAGAAAAGAAATTAATTGGCCAACTTATATACAAAAAATTAGCTGGGCATGGTGGCGCATGCCTGTAGTCCCAGCTACTTGGGAGGCTGAGGCAGGAGGATCGCTTGAGCCCAGGAGTTTGAGGTTGCTGTGAGCTAGGCTCACACGGCACTCACTCTAGCCTGTGCAACAAAGCGAAACTCTGTCTCAAAAAAAAAAAAAAAAGCTACTCTCTCTCTCTCTGCTGGCCTTCCAGGGTTCCACCTTCTACCCTGTTCTGTTCTCACTCCACACAGCTCCCTGGCTAACTGTACCCACCCCAGGGCCTCACCTACAACCCTTATGCCCTTGGCTCCCACATCATCCTCTAAGACCCCAAGTCCGGCTCCTATTTTCAACTGCCTCTTGGGCACCTCCAGCTGGGCGCCCATGTGCCTCTCCTGCTCTGCCCCAGACTCCTGACGCACACCGACACCTGCCTGCTTCCCCACATCCGCCTGCCCTGCGCTTGGTGGGTCATGTGACTGGCTCTGGCCAATGGCACGGAAGCAGAAATGTCACGTGCCACTGCTGGCAGAGGTATTTAGCACCTGGTGCACCAGCCTCAGTGTCTTCCCCTCTGTGGTTCCAGGACGTGACAGTGGAGAATGAAAACACACACTGTAGGTAGTGGAGTCACTGCTTAGAAAACGCCACTGGATTTGTACTGCACTATGAGAGAAATTTCTATGGTGAAAAATTACTAAGATTCTGGAGTTTCGGACACAGCAGCCAGTGATAATTATCCCAACACACCTGCCTCCTGCACCTGGCAAACTGCCCACTTACTGCTGCAATTCAAATACCACCTCCTCCGTGAAGCCCACCATCCACGGAAAGTCAGCCACTCCGTCCTGTGACCGCCAGCCATTCGCACATCTGGGCACAGCAATGCCCCAAATCTACAGCCACATTTCTGTTTGTGCCTTTGGCGTGCATATTTGTGTGTGCTGTTTTCATCCCTGTATTTTTCACAGTACCTTACAGCAAGTAGCACCAATACATTTGATGTACTGAAGCAAAAATCGGAGCCTTCTTACCATGTGACAAGCGAACCCCAAGCCAGTACTTTCCTCCAGTCACATGTTCTCAGCATCGTGCTAGGTTCTATGGCAGGACGCAAGAAAGGTGAAAGACACCTGCACCCACCTTTATCTTCAGATTCTCTGCACCCCATCATCTCCTGTCCTTACTAAAGGACGGCTGTCACTTAGAAAAGCACACGGTCTTTCCAGGAACTACCAGCCGAAACATCTTACAGAAAGCAAGATCAAAGAAGGGGTTTTTTAGTGACAAGGTTAAAGTAGAATAAGACTCTCCCATGGCCCTTTAACCTGGCTCACCCCAGCCTGCCGCAGTTGAGATCTGTGACTTGGCATTCTGCAATCACGCAGCTGTGCCGGGGTTATTTATGGTGTGAAAAGGACCTGAACCATCACTGGCTCCTCAGGGACCCAGATGTGGAGCTGCCAGGCCAGCCGTGCAGAGTGACGTCATCGCTGCCTGGCAAAGCTTCCCAAACCAAAAGCACAAGACCATGTTGCTAGTCAGGGAAACAGAACAGGGATCTTTTCTTTTAAAACACAGTGAATTGGATACACTCAGTATCCAAATCTCCCAATTCCCTTAAGGATGTGATGTGACTGTTAGTCCTAGCCCAAGGGATACGGGAACCATAAATACGTGATGATCAATTATTAATGCAATGTTTTCACATCTCCTGCACACTAGCATTCTGTCTGCTGCAGGGATGGCTTTGCTGTGGTTACTGACATGATCTACTTGATGTACACTATACATAAGGTTGGCCACTAGTGTTCAGACAAAAATATCCACAACCAAGAGCTATGGCAAACACAGACACCATGCCCACAGCTTCAGGAGCACACAAGGAAGCTTCTAGGACATATTTCCAGTAGGACATTCAGAGTAGTAAATGGAACAATGTTACACTTTGCAGTACACTACAGGCTGGGATCTACAGAGAGTAAGTATCTTAGTCTGTTTTATGTTGCTTATAACAGAGTACCTGAAACTGGGTCACTGATAAAGAAAAGGAATTTATTCCTTACAGTTTTGGAGGATGAGAAGTCCAGGGTTGTGGGGACTGCATCTATGGAGGGCCTTCTTCTCCTCTTCTTCTTGCAAAGCCACCAGTTCCACCCCATGCTAACCCACAAATCCATTCACCCATTAACAATACATGGATTAATCCATTCATGATGGTCCAGCCCTTATGATCCAGTCACCTCTTAAAAGCCCCACCTCTCTCAATATGGCTAGTCGGGGATTAAAAGTTTCAACATGAGTTTTGTAGAGGTCTCAAACCATAGCAGTAGGGAAGTTTAAGAAAGATTCAATTAGTGGAAAAGTAACTTAGTAGAGGGCAATGCAGAATTTGGGAGAGTAAGGACAGCACATTGTGTTAAACAAGCAGCATATGCGGTAGATAATGCGGCACATCGAAAACAGGGGACACTTAATGTCATAGCTGAACACAGGAAACTGTTCCTGACTGGCATGTCCAGAGTTCACACACCATGAACTTGACTACGAATGACTTCTCCAGATCCCATCCACGATGCCAACTGCATGCGTGTAGAACAAGAAACGGACCGAAAACAGCACCATCAGGAAACTTACCCTGCACGAAGATCCTATTCCAGTAGGTCTTCCCCACTTGATTGCCCCCAAGGAACACCAGGTTGGACAGGATCAGAATCGAGGTGGAACAAGACGCGAGGGCAGCGTGCAGTCGCCGGCGGACTCCCGGAGAAAGGTGTCGGGCCTGCCGGGAAAATAGCAAGAAGGTGTGTCATCATCGCAAGGATGCGAGAGTAGGGCTCAGACGTCATCGAGCTCTGTCACCAGCCCAGGATGCTCCCCCCCACCCCACCCCCCGAGCCTGAGCCAGGTCATTATTTAGACAGCTCTCAACACTTCTATGCCTGCAAACACGTTCAATTCTGGTCTAAGTTAAAGAAGGGACACGGCCCGAGTTGTTTCTTCCTCTTGCCAAAATGGGCTTCTCTCTGACGAGTGTAACATGAGCACTGAAGCTAGGTAGGATTTAGAAGCCTGCCTGCCCCCGTCTCCACTTGTTTTCTGCATGTAAATATCTAGGTGCAAGAATCTGAAACTGCTCTCCACAGTGACTAGTATACAGGGCTCCACAGAAAGAGCTCAGAGGGGGCTTTCGGCCAGTGCACTTGACCCTGGGAAGCCGACCACGCTGGAAACCTGACGCTCTAGTCAGAGGAATCTCCTGACAAAGGTGCAGGACGATCCGTGCGAGCCAAGCCCGCTGCGGGAATCAGACCCCAGGACCTCCTCCCACCCCCAGCACCCGGCAATGCCCTGGAACAGCAGCGCATCAAAGTGCCTGAAAGACTCGAGGCTGGAGAGAAGGTTCCAGCAACCGTGATAAAGAATTCTGCTCATCCCTTCTAGCTCTGCCTTATACTTTTTCTTCCCCCTTTCCCCCAGGGATTCCATAAAGCACACAAAGCCTTTATTCCCCAGCATGGGCTACGCTGGTGGCCCTGCCTGAGGGAGGTCACCGCGCTGTGTCTGCAGTGTGTGAGCCCCACCAGCAGGTGGTCCTTGGGGACAGGCATAGCGCAACAGCCAGCCGTGCAGAGTCCCGGGTTTCTGACAGATACCTGAGCCTAATCCGATGATACAGAAAGGAAAGCGAAAGGGCCAGGCGCAGTGGCTCACGCCTGTAATCCTAGCACGCTCGGAGGCCAAGGCAGGAGGATCGCTTGAGCTCAGGAGTTCGAGACCAGCCTGAGCAAGAGTGAGACCCCGTCTGTACTAGCGATAGAAAGAAATTAGCCAAACAACTCAAAATAGAAAAAAATTAGCCAGGCACGGTGGCACATGCCCGTAGTCCCAGCTACGTGGGAGGCTGAGGCAGGAGGATCACTTGAGCCCTGGAGTTTGAGGTTGCTGTGAGCAAGGCTGATGCCACGGCACTCACTCTAGCCTGGGCAACGCAGTGAGACTTTGTCTCAAAAGAAAGAAAGGAAAGCAAGCAAAGGGTCTGAACATCCTCTGGAAACCTAAGCTCTCTGGGTCACGTGCATCAGCTGTGCTCCGATGGCAATTAGAATTCCGAATGAATGACTCAGTGGCAGTGGCCAGTGTGGGTCACAGCAGGTTAAGCTGGAGGTGAGTCTCCAGTGGGTGGCCCTGCTGTGGGTCTTCTGTGGCTGCTCCATAAGTAGTCAGTGTCCTCTTGATCTAGAGAAACACACTCCTGAGCCCTCCCCTCCCCCACCAGCCCTGGGGTCTGCCCTGTCGGCTCATGTCTCACCGCTACCAAGCATCACCTCCCCACCGCGGTTCCTGCGGCATCACTTTGAGCTTTAGCGTGGCCTTCTCTTGGACGAGCTGTGCCGAGTCCTGGACTGATCGAGGTGTCAGTCTGCACACGATTGGTCCAGAAAGCTCTCCAGGGACGCAGACATGTCCCTGCTTAGAGGCCACCAGGCAAGACAACCTCTAGTCTCGCCCCTGCTCTACGAGGCTACGAGCACGCACAGGAGGAAGCTGTCAGACAAGACCAGGTACGAGGCAACTACACGGTATGAAAACTGGTAACGAGAGAGAAATGGGGCCGAAGCAGGCTCGATACTCAGCGCTCTTCTCCTCGGAGACGAAGGGGACGTTAATCTACCAGTTTCTGCATTCTAAAGCACAGGAAGGGACATTCTGGGTATTACTGACTCAATTAGCAGTAACTGGAGAGGCAGGGTGAGAGGAAGCTGGGAGAGAGGAGGAAAAGGTCCAGAATAATAAATCAAGAAAATGCAAATTGTCTTAATTGGCATAAATGTGTCCATATAATTCTCTCCAGGTACAGGGGCTCCCAGTAACACAATTGATCTCTAAGGGACCCGACGAGTAAGACACTCCTCCACGTCTGCTCTAACTGCAATCGGTCTCCCCCAGCCTCACACCCTGAGAGGGGGACACAAAGGCCCCGTGTGAGCTCTCCTTTATTAATGTCACCTATGGAGAGTGCACAGAGCTTGCTTAAGCTCAAAGTGGTTCTCCTTTTACAGGCAGTGATTATACAAGTATTGCACAATCAACAGAGAGACACTGAGAGAAGACGACCCTCTTTCCACGGGGTTGCTGGGCAGGGGTGGGCTGTCACTGGTACAGGGACAGGGCCACACTGGAGCAGTGGGCAGAGCAAGGGAGGGGACAGGTAACTGAGTCCTGGTGGCACAGGGCTTGCCCCCTGCCAGTCCCCAGGCCCCGGTTCCTACAGATCTCCCTTTGATTGTGAGACTTTCCCAGTATCTCTCCCAGCTACACGATTCAATAAATACCTATTTCTACTTAAAAAAAAAAAAAAAAAAGTCAAAGGCCAACTGTGACGGAGCCTCTGATCTCAGAGATAGGAAGGGGGGAATCTGACATCTGGAATGACTGACTGCAATTGAAGTTTTGGAAATAGTGTATTTTTTTTTTCAAAAAAGCGGGAATATTAAAGGCACAGACTGGTAGACTCAATAAACTATTTTAAAAGATTTAAAGTTGAAATCAAGATGCTCGCAGGCAATTCCTGAATATCCTTCGGGGTGAGTGGATGGGAGACAAAATAGATGATCAAGAAAATCCCCAAATCTAATTTTAATAGTCGCATCCTCTGACAAAACCAGCTGTGCCAACAGGCATCGCAATGAACAGAGTGCCGCTCCTTCTTGTCATGAATCCACAGAAGGACAGAATCATGGGCCACAAGGAAAGAAGAAGAGGGCCTGTCTGGATAATCTGCAAAAGGATAATAATTAACAGCAAAGGGGATGTGACCCACCTCTCCTCTTCAGGTTCCCTGACACACTACAGAAAGTGACAGTTTTGACATTAGGGGTCTCCCTCTACCTTGGGCACCAGCTGGCCTCAGCCACTGGTTCACAGGAATTCTAGAGATAAGAAGCACACTGAGAGGTCCGGGAGGAAAAATGCCACATGAGCAAGGCTGGTGGCTACAGTCCCTTGTGCCAGCCAACTCCATCAGGACATCTGACTTTCGGAATCTCTAGGGCCACAGGGCCAAAGTCCCCACTTTAAATGCTCCAGTCCATTCGCCCACTGTCCTCAGCTGTCTTAAGCAATGGCTCCTGTGGTCCTTCACACCCAGCATACAGGCCACCCACCCACCCCACAGCTCAGCTACTTGAAAATCCCCTCGCCAAGAGGACTCATATTGATGAATTGTAATCTAAATGGGGAAATGTCAGAGTACAGCCATCAGGCCTGAAGGTGAGAATTGCCAACTTGATCAGATAAGGCAGTAATGGACAAACAGAATCTGATTTTCATTAACCCTTTGCACTCGGATGTTGAGTGTGGATAATGTCAAGTGGATAATGAGAAAAAAAGCAAGCGAGTGCAAAGGGTTAACACAAATTTATCAGGACAAAAAACTCTGGGCCGGGTGCAATGTCTCACACCCATAATCCCAGCATTCTGGGAGGCTGAGGCAGGAGGATCGCTTGAGCCCAGGAGTCTGAGGCTGCTGTGAGCTAGGCTGACGCCATGGCACTCTAGCCCAGGAAACAGAGTGAGACTCTGTCTCAAAAACAAAAACAAAACAAAGAAAGAATTGCCATGTTTCTAGGCAGGGGTGACCAGCTCTCCCCAGGGTCCCTGCCTTGCATGACAGAGGGGTGGGCTGGGGCAGTCCCCTCCCGTGTGAATGCCAACACAACCCGCTCTTTGGGACTGAGGGCCTGGACACAGCAAGTCCCTCAGATCACCCAGAGCACAGGCGGACCTGCAATGCCTCTGTCCGAGCAAGCCGCCTCTGACCCAAGAAACAGAGGTGGGACGCGGGGATGCTTTAACGACACCTGCAAGTGGCTTGAAACTTCCCTGTAAGACGCTGGCGTCCAAAGGTGAAGAACGTCACCCCACACACCAAGGAACCCTTATTTTTTCCCCGGATACCCAGTGCGATTCCACCAACTAACCTTAGAGCTGCACCAAACTCTGCCAACCTAGTCTGTGACAGCAGGTTTGCCACACCTGCTATGAGGTATGTGGTGGCTCCTTGTGTTTATTCCTATCTCCATGGCAACTCCTCCATCTTTTCCAGTCAGCATCGTGGGCCTGGGAAGTCCAGGACTGGCTGGGGCAGAAAGCCGGGCGGGGGGACATGGGCCACGGAATCTGGGTCAGCAGCGAGGCCGGAACACAGGCGGGGCAGGGAGGCAGATGGCGCCGCGCGCTGGGGGCTGCCGGGCTCATGGGCCCTGCGCGCAAGTCCACACAGGGCTGCGTGCGGGGCGGAGACGGAGGAGGGGACGTGCTGCACAGCTGGGGCAGCAGATGGCTGGAGGAATGGCTGCTGGGGACTGTGACAAAGGCTTGGCAAGTGGGACCTGCTGCTGCCTATTTTTAAGTGGGGGAGAAGCTAAAAACAGAAACTCGGTGGGTTTGAGCAGCTGGACACGGTTCTTCCATATCATCCCTGAAGTTGTTCGTTTTCTAACACAAATGCTAACCGGAGGGTAAAGCCGGCTGGCGGGGCCAGGGAGAGAAACAATGGGTGAACACCCCACAGGCCAAAAAGATGAGGCCAAAGACAACAAAAGAAACAATTATAACTCTTGAGAGAAGAATGGTCAGGATGAGACACTCAAGGTCAAGGGGACTCAGAGTCCAAAGTCACTGCAGAGCCCCTGTCCCATCTCTGCACCAACCTGTACGATATGCTCCCTTGCCCACCGGCTCAAAACACGTTGGCCATTAGCAGGCAAAAGTCTGTGT